GGTATTTCCTGTGGCCATGTCTAAACCCATAAGTGGTACTGCTCTGACTGATGCTGTTAAAGCTGCTCTATTGATATAAAGTTGGTTTAAAGGTATGTATATCCACAGAAGGGAATAAGCTGTCCTCCTGTGCATTTATATCAGTATAACTGTGTCCATAATATGAGTTACACAGTATATATGTGTGTGTGTATACATAAAATTCACCTGTGTATAATGGACATAATTAAAACAGTTTGACAGTCAACAGTTGAAACTTTACAAAGTTTCTTTTTTTTTTTTTGGCAAGCAAATTGAAATATTAATTTTGAAGTCATGGGCTTCACATTTTGATGCATGCAAGTAATAGCTAGTACAGAGTAAATTTCAGGAACCTCCTGCTTACCCAAACCAGTAGTGCTGTTTTTAGCAGTTCACAGTAACCTCTTCATCCTATGGCAAGCTGATCTCTAAAATAGTCTGTGTGGGATAAGTGTGTGCACTTTCAGCAGTTATTAGGGAGTAAGTGGAACTTAACTAACCATTTCATGTGTTCTTTTCTCTATTCCAATCCATAATCCTCCATAGGGTAGACATTGGTAAACAGGGCTGTTTCAGAAAGGGCTCTGCTTTTCTTCACTTTTAAATATATTTCTAAAGACTTACAGCAGAGTAATCCTCAGGGATTGGTCCGATCTCATTAGGGTGAAGGCTATCACAAATAAAAAGGGTTTGTTCCATTTGAGTTACAAAATACATTTATACATTGACAGCTGTGACCACACAGAACAAAGATGGGAAGAGAGTAAGAAATTACCTGCTTTATACTGTCAAAATCTGGTTAAAGCAGTGTCACTGCTGTCCTCTGAAGACAAAAAGAAAAGAGGGAAACTGGGATGTGTCTGAGAGTACTGAAGTCTTTGAAAGATCTTACAGACTGGAGATCTTACAAACTGGGATGTGTCTGAGAGTACTGAAGTCTTTGAAAGATCTTACAGACTGGAGAGGTTCTTGAGAACCAGGGAGAGACAAATGTTGAGTTTATCTTCATTAAAAGCCAAAAGAATAATTTGGAGAATTACAAGCCAATCAGCCTCTTCAATCCCTTTGAAAATCAGGAACTGAGACTTCTTGGCATGCATTTCTGTGCACATGAGGGAGAATAAAGTGACTGGAACCTGTCAGCATGGATTTACCAAGGGACTGATCAACTTGATTGCCTTCTGTAAGAAAAAAAGTCTGAATTTGTACATGATGAGAAATCACTAGATGCTACTTTATAAACGTTTGTAGAAAGGTTTTTCATGCTGTCTCTACAATAAATTTGTATCTAAGTAAGGTTATTATGGTCTGAATAGATGGGTGGACTGACAGACAACTGGCTGGGGGAAAAAACCCACTGGTTGTGTGGTCAGACTCGGAGAGCAGTGTTCATGATCATGAGCCAGCAGTGTGGCGTGACGGCAAAGCAAACAAACAGCATCCTAGACTGTATGAAAAGAAGAATTGCTGGTAAAGGGAAGTGATTGTCATCCTTTGCTTCACATTTGTTAGGCCATATCTAAAATACTCTTATCAAGTTTTGGATATTCCTAGTACTGGGAAGTCATTGACAAACTGAAGTGAGTTCAAGGGAGCCTGCTGAAATTACTGGGGCTGAAGCATTTGTCTTGTGAGGGCTGGGGAAACTGGGCTTGTTCGCCTCTGGGAAGAACTGGCTTTTGGAGGACCTAAAAGCTGCCCTCCAGGACTACAAAGAGGTTGTCTAGAAAATGGAATGAAGTTCTTCACTGAGGTCAAATGACAAGACAAGAGAAACCGTTCACAAAACAGCACAGGAATTTCTGTTCTGAGGGAAAGAAAAACTTCCATACAGTCAAGCACTGGAACCAGTTGTCCAGACAGGTTGTGCAGTCTCTGTCTATCCTCAGAAGTTTTCAAGACCCAGCTGGAGAATGGGGAGAGGAACAATCTGATATGATGCCGTAGCTCACGGAACTGTGAGCAAGCTATTGGACTATAGACTTCCTGAGGTCCTATCTGACCTAAGTTATTCTGTGATTCAGTGACTCCAGACCCCTGGTTTTGGATGAGGTAATGGAGAAGATTGTTGAGAGTACGGTGTTTTGTGTAGTTGGTAGGAGACTTGACAAGGAAAAGTGACTCAAATGAGAGATGGTGTAGAAGAGAGGAAAGGGCAGAGGAACACTTTGTGTGTTTTGTGGAACTGGCATTTATTCCCCTAGAATTGCAGCTTTTGTGTTAAAAACACACAAGAAGCACATGCTTTTCATAGCTCGGACTAAAGACAGCTGTAATTGCAAATCTGGTTTATGCAAAATATTAATCTGTGCTGCTCAGGTTCAGAATTTCATTTTTCTTTTTTTTTTTCCCTCCCAGTTAGGATGTCTTTGATGCCCTGACTTCTTTCTTTAAACTGTATTGCAAGGAACAGGATCTGCAGCAGACTCCTGCAACTCAAGACATTCTTGAGAATCCATTTGACCCCGTTTCCTTCCTCCAGTGAATGCTGTGCCAGGGAACAGTGCAAGAGAAGGGGTACCATGCTTGCCGTATTGTAAAGGAGAATACAGTGTTGTGATTTGTTGCAGGAATACATCTCATATCTTAGGGGTGCAAGGGGGAGTTGGTAAGCTGGGCTCAGGGAGGCAATTTTATTGTCCTTTCTGCATCAACATTCAGTCATCTAATGAAGGTTGTGGAGAGTTTATGTGCAACTGTAGTATGTTCTTTCTCTGTGCTTTCCTCAGTATTTTTGTGAAAGTAAAAGGCAGATGGAGATGTGATCACCCCCTTCATCAGGGTAGCTGATCACAGTAGAGCGAAACTTGAATAGAATTTTATATTGTACCTTGCATTTTCCGACTGTATTAGCCAGTAAACGCCAGTTGAATATCTAATTGGAATTTGGTGATGCTAATAGAAAAAAATTTCTGACTTCAGGCACTTTTTATTAGGGTTTGTGTACACTAAGAGAATGCCTCTGTCTTAAGAAAAAAATTGAAGTGTTTGAATGATTGAAATTATTTGAGTAGAAGTTGGTTTATACTGTGGTATTTTACAGATGTATTTTAGAACCTGAACTGTATCTTGCCTGGTGTTTTTTTGTTTGGTTTGGTTTGTTTTTTTTAAGGAATAAATATTTTATTAATTTTTTTCTAATAGCTTATCAGGTATTTGTATAAATTGAAGGCATGCTGGATTAACTATTTATTGTAGAGGAGGTTTTCAATTGAGTTTGTGTGCTCAAATCACACTGTGATTCTTAGAAAACTCTGTCCTTGAGTGCAGAGAAGCTCTGGCTATCTGCAAATGCATGCAAGCAAGTAAACACAGGAGACTTGTTCAAGTGAAAGGCTTAAAGTGCTTGTTCTGTATTTCTGTTTTAAGTATGGTGGGAATGCTGTAAACTTCTACAGAGAACTTATGTGGCATTAGGGAAGTAATTTGGTTAAGTGCTTGAATTATTGCTTTGCAAAGTAGAGGTATTGTAGCTCTGTGAATTCAATTCTACATGTAATTAGCACTTCTTTGTAGCTTTCTAAAAATGTTATCTTAATGAAAACTAACAGATAATACATGTCATGCAAGGGACCCTTAAGATCCTTGCTAAGTGGAAACCATCAGTCTTTCCATAATGTCCAGTGTCTGTTTTCATTTAAAGTGAGATGTCTGGAAAACATGTGGTTGCAGAATTGTGTCTTTTTCTTTCCCTTTTTCATAATGGGAAAAAAAGTGCATGATGCTTTTTGTTACAGAGAAAATGATCTTAAGTTCATTCTGTCTTCCTGAGTTTTTGGATTGTTTGAAACAATGGAAATAAGGTGAATTGTGCAAAATTTTTTTTCTGCTAGACTTGTAAAGTCTCAGTTTTGGTGAACTTGCTAGATTGAATGACTTGGCTTACATACACTTGGTTTTCCATTAGCAACTAACTCCTTATACCTCATGATAGTCTCATAGTGCCCACATTACCTTGATTACCTGCCATTTCACCAGCCTGTCCTCATTTCTTCATTTCACCCTCTTATTCAAAGTAAAAAATTAATAGCCCTGAGTTGCTCTGACCTCTAAAAAATGTCATTAAGTACTGGTAATTGTGGTGTTTGCTTAGGAATGCTGTGGCTAAATAAAAACTTAACATTTTAATGGTAGTACTTGCCCCTTTCATTTAACATCTTGATGTGTTTGGATTTTTGAAGCAGGGTCTATGATCTTATTATTTCACTGTCACTGAGAGTAACTGATATTTTAAAGAACAAACCATATTGAAAGAATTACCCTTAAATTAATCAGTCTTGGGACCATGCCTGTGAACTATGTACCAAAAAACCTACTACACTTTCACATTGTGTGCTACTGTTAATTTATATCAATATAATGAGTACAGAACTCTCAGCTCTCCTAGAGCTCATGGTTTTCAAAGCTGAGTTAATGTTCATAAATAAAAGAGTAAAGAGTGAAAAAAATAATTTGAAATAAATGAAAGACGGGCGTGTTCATATTCTAACATTTTGTATGTGTGCTGCTATCACGTGCACGGCGAAGGCATAAGGTTGTTAGGCACTGAACTTGGGTGCAATAGCAGTTTGTCATCTAACCCCCTTACTCTCCTTAGGAAGATTCACACTCTTAAGATTAAGACCCAGTTCTGTCTTACTTGCTTTCAGTTTACCAAACTTTCTGAAAGGAATCTGATCAAAACTGTGCATGTGGATTTCCACTTTAGTCTGTGGTGGGATAATGATGCTTTGAAGTCCTGATTTCATCATTTGCCTTAAGGCTTGCTAGAAGTGCCTTGTCTTCCCCTCTGCACCCAAAATTCCTGTCATTCACCAAGCAGAGGAATAAATTTCTCAGTAGGAAAGTAGCAGTGTGACTATATACTCACTACTACCACTGTCTAACATGTTTTTTTGCTTTGTTTTGTTTTTTTTTGTTTTGGGTTTGTTTTGTTTTGTTTTGTGTTTTGTTGTGGTTTTTTTTATTTTTAAATAAAGGTCCATGAAGGATTCTTGGAAACTAAGATTGCTCCCATGAATGTTAGTGCCACTAGCAGTTCGTCTGAGAAGAGGAATATTGATTTACGAATATACATGCTGTGTTTCCTGCCATTCCTGGTCCTCCTGGTCTTTATTCGTGACCTTAAGAGCCTGTCCTTGCTTTCATTGCTTGCCAATCTGTCCATGGCTGTCAGCCTGGTGATCATTTACCAGTATATTGTTAGAGTGAGTATAAAAAGTTTATTACCTGTTTTTTTCAGTGTGGCAGGTTGTGTTTGTTGCATGTGGCAGTTGGTCTATGATAGATATACACTGACTGACAGTTTCTGAAAGGCAGCATTATCATGTAATTAATTGAGGCATCTTAATTTAAGGAGGTGCCTCAAAATCTGTGATATGCTCTAAATACAGACTTTTACAGTGCTTTTGAAAGAAAGAATAATATTGCTGCATTTAAGATAATAAAAATATATATTTTGGTGAGCGGGAAGTGGAAAATGGGGAGGAAGGCAATAAGAGATATTGACGAGGAGTCAGGAGAAGTTATGTAGAAAAAATTGGGGAAGATAGTAATTAATTACTTTGCAGGAACTCAGCTTGTAATAAAGATATTTTCTTTTAATGTCCCTCATGGTTATGAAGAATATCTGTGCAGTATGAAAGCAGATTAGAGAACTCAGAAGTTTGCAGAAAATTAAGCTTTATATGTGCACTTTCCCATGTGCTTTAATTGATGCTCCCTCATATGTACCAGTGTGATACTTTAAATGTGAAATTTTTTCATGACAGTAGTAGAAACCTAGAATAAATATATCTGCAAGTGTCTGTGTGGGAAGGTGGCTATAAATGTGTGGGAAGGACTAAGTTTGGGAGGAAAACCAGGGATTATAAATAGCAATGTCAACATTTACTGAGCTATCTTTCCTATAACATAATGCATCAATCAAAATTTTAGAGAGAATTAATGTACTTTACATTGTTTTGCTTTCTTTTCTTCAGGATATAGTAGATCCTCGAAAACTGCCTCCAGTAGTCGGCTGGAAGAAATACCCACTGTTTTTTGGGACTGCAGTATTTGCTTTTGAAGGAATAGGTGTGGTAAGTGCTTTTTACTGACTCTTCAGAATCACTGGTTCTATGCTAGATGATGGGATACAGGCAGTTTTACTCCTGTTGTTATTTTGTTGTTTTTATTGAAACACTAATCTCCCACACTGGTATGAAGAGGGTTAATTTGTCTGGTCAAAAAAGGCAAAAGTTGAGAACACAACATCCCCATCACAGGGGAATTTGGTGGATACTGACTACTACTTGGACACTTAACCCTTTCCCAAATTACAAGAATGCCTTTAGTTCCAAATAAATTGAGACAATACTGTAATAATAACTGGTATCATAATATGTTCTATGGTAGTATAGAACTAAGTTAATAATATGATTATATTGTAATTACAGTGATTCAGCAGCTCAGTTTTATGTGATGAGTGTGTAAAAATAGAAGTGCATTCAGCATCCTTCTTTTCCTTTGGGGTCAGAAAGGACTAAGTGATTTACTAGAAATGTATTATTTTTCCTGCTTCAGACTTGTCTATAGATCTGACTTGATAGAGATGAGGGTGATAAGGAAAAGGATAGAAATTTCCAAATTTTTTTTTTGATTCATGACCTTCTGACAATGAACTTCAAGTCCTCATTGTTTCCTGAAATATGTCAATTATATAGATTTATCACTCAGAAAATTGGGTTTTCAAAAGTGGTTCTTTTTCCGTCTCTTACTCAGTCAAACATCTCAAACTGGCAAAGTCTTCTGGTTAGTCAACCATTTTTGTTCCCTACGATATAGTTTAAAAACTAGCTAAAGAGACTTCTGGGAATGGCAGGTCATAATGTCTTTAAATTGTTGGGAAATTACTCTATGTGCTTTGTTTGTTATATAATTACATTCTTCAGCAAGTGTTACTGTATGCTTAAAACTGAAAAACAACCAACTGCTTCCTCTTCCCCCCCAAAAAAAAACAAACAAAAAACACCACAGACTAAAGCAATCCCAAACTGAGATGCAATTAATCTGAAATGATTGTCTGTCATTGACATAACATAGATTTTCTTCAAGTCTGTTTTCTTTTCTCGAATTGTCAACTCTGACTTAAATTAGATTATTTTACGTCCATGGTATGTTATCAGTGGCAGAAGAGCTGAATAGGAAAACCTTTTAACTCCTATTGTGGTGCAAAAGAGTGTTTTCAAAGTGTTCTCCACTGTTTCTCAGGTGTGAACTGACAGATGTGGAGCTTTAGCTACCCTCTATCTGACTGTGTCTGGATATCTTTCATTTCGTCATCCAGAACTTTCATCATAAGAAATCAGCTGTTTGTCAGACATTATTTGATGCCTATGGATTTTGGGCAAAAAAAACCATGCTCAATGAAACAGACAGATTGGACTATGCAAGGTAGTTATATAGTCTGTCTGTGACGGACTTCACTTACTGTGTGTGTTATGTACAGTAGGTCTGATACATGTCCCAGTTGTATTTGATTTGCCGTGTGCTGCGTAGCACACAGGTGTGTATTTGTAGCCAGGGAATCCCAAATGAGAGTCCTGTGAGCCTCAGGAAAGTGGGGAAGGCTTATAATTTGGTAGCAGTAGTTTATTGAATTATAGGTAGGGAATTGATTTATGGTAATTATTTTCTGGCACATTAGATCCCACATTAGAGAGCTCCTTAAATTTACATCAGCAGCAGACTTCCGAAACTTCTGAAGAACTGCCCAGAGCATTTGCTTGATTGAATCCCTGGTTGTTACTAATGACATCTTTAGAACTCTTGATTTTTTTTTAATCTTTTATTCAAGAGGGTTCATTCTATTTGTACCTTTAAAGCACAAAAATACTGCTGTTTACAAACTAATTAAATGTTTATGTTCATTATGGTTTGATACACATTGTATGTGTGTGTTTACATTATACAGGACCATTAGAAAAACATGGCTACCTTTACAAATTAAAATTAGTGTAGAGTGAAAATCTAGAGCTTAATGTTTCTTCCTTATATGCAGAATGATATTAAGATGTCTCTGCTTCTCAGGGATATTTTGGACATGCAGAATATTTGTTGTGCATGCTTATGCTCTGCTTGCAGGCATCATAGAGAAGATTTGAAGAAAAATATTATTTTATGGGTTTGGATAATCAGAACTAAACAAAGTTGTTGAAGCATGAAATAAAAAAAGATGAGTGAAGTAAAGCAAGACAGACATTTCCTCTTTACATAATTAATATTTCATACAACTCTTGGGGATTGATTTAATTGATAACTAGTTATTACAGCTCCGTAAGTTACCATCATAGACCTGTTGTATGTAGCTAATGTGTGACAACTTGTTACCCTGTGTCTTATTTATTGTCATTCCTAGATCTGTGGTTAAGTTGTTCTGGTAAGGAAAAAAAAAACCCCGCCATTTAATTAGATTGGCTCTTTAGTCTACTTTCTCTGACTGCAGGCACTCAAAATGAATTTTTATAATCTTGGTTTTGTAGTTAGAGACTTGATTTTAGATTTTGTTCTGGAATGTCCTGCAAATAACACATATTATTGGGAAGCTGTCTGATCATGACATTATGAACAGAAGCCTTAAGGTCTTAATTTTATCAGAAGAGGATTATGATCGATTAATTTTATGCAATAGATTGACCTGAAGCAGTTGGAGGTCTCATTTTTCCCATTCCTTGATTCTGAACATGCATTATGCTAATTCTCATCTGAGAGCTGCCAGATTATTGGATGTTATGAAAAGGGACAGTAAATGAAATTCTGAATTTTTTGGGCTGGTTGAGTCATCTAAAGCAGAACCTGACAAGAGAGGATAAGTTCCCTCAGTGTGGTTTTTTTACCGCCATTGTTATGTTTAAAATAGTCTTTCCTGCTAGGAGTATTTAATGATGAACAACTCAAGTAGAAGAATAAATGATCTATAAAGACACAGTACAAAGCAAGGCGCTTGAGCCATAGCAGTTGGGAAGATTTATTTTCAAAGATACATAATTGATTTTGGTTTTATTAGCAGAAGAGAGGGTAATGTTGCCAGAAGGCAAGTGGCAGTTCATAATGCATGTTCAGTGTGGAAACATGTCTGTCTGGTTTCTTTGAAGCAAATAACAGAGGAAATACTCTAGCACAGATCTTTTTTCCATCCCATTGTTCCAAAAAGCTTCTTATATATTGATCTTTTTCCTTTTAGTTTAGCACTTGTCATCACTTCAAATATGACTACAGTTCATTAGTAACTAATAAAATTAGTGAGACTAATAAAACAGAGGAGACTAAAGTCCTGTTCAGTCTAGGGAACATATTTTAGGAAGCTGCAATGATTCAGCAGATTCGTAGTAAAATTTTCTTCTTGATCTTCTGAGACTATGTTTCTCTTATAGATGGCGACTGTATGAACATGGGTTTTGGTTAAACTCTGTCATTAGCTTAGGACTGATTAGCTGTCCCTGTATAATAAGGAAATCAGCAGTATGGAAGCAATTTGGAATATTGTTCCTTTAGCTATCATTGATCCCTAGATAAATAAACTTTAAGAACCTCAAGTTTACTGATTTGAGGCTTTAATAACTCAAAGGAGGGAAGGTAGACTCTTTAAAATTGAAATATAGAATCTCAAAGAAACCAAGGCAGTGCCTAGAAACTAGTACTTGTGAAATACTAAAAGCTAGTTAAACATTTATTTTTTTCATTAAAATAAAAGCAATTGATATAATGAATTGATGATATTATGATGATGAATTGAGCTGTTTATGACTGCCTGTGAGATCAGTCTAAACTCTTATTTGATGGCAGATTTGAACAATTTTGTCATTTTGCCAAAGTCCAGGCAAGTTGTTTGCTTATTGCTACAACTGCTGGAATAAGGAATAAGGTTAGTGCTATCAAAGAGCTGATTAATATTAATTCATGCTAAACTCTGAGTGATACTTGTAACAGGATTAAAGAGTTCTACAGTCGGTTTCTTGTTCTATTTATTTCTTTGCTCCCTTTTTGTGTTGTCTGTTAAAATGGGGTTACTGCACATTGGTAAAAGGTTCCTGCTGCAAATTGAATGTCTTGGCAGCTGGGTGGTAGTCATTACTGTGTGGAAAAAGGACAAGTTGGCAGCAGGGGCACCCAGTGATCCCTTGATACTGAGTTAGCAAACAGCAGCTGAAAGCTCAGTACTGTCAGTCTGGTGGTTATCATTCACAGTGTTGAGAACTGTGTTGGAATTCCAACACTTTTAAGATTGTAAGGGTAACCTTGTGAAAATCATATGGACTTCTGACATCAGTTCAGTTTGTGGAACAGTAGTGGCAACAGAAGTGCAGTACTCTAAAATGGATACAACAAACCGCTTAAGATACTTGGGTTTTTTTAAGCTTTAAAGTGAAGATTTTGGTTCAGAAGGCAGTATGTTGATTAGGGGATGGAGAAAATGTGTATTTAGCCCTGAGTGGACCTTTTTGAATACAGGACTCTGCTGGGAATGAGAGGTTCTGTGGCTGCTTCTTTCCCTCTGTGCTTTCGCTTCTCTCTGGCTATGGGTTCTCTGTGCCAGATGATGCTGCCTGGCAGATTGTGGGGCTGGTGTTCAGGCCACAGAATAGAGTACCAACACTACTTACTGAACACAGGAGCTGCAGGTGATGGAATGCGGTGAATGTGTCTTTCATGGAACACGTAACGTTATTTTGTAAGAACCATGTTAGAGTTCCTCTTTCGTATTCCAAAGGTGAGTAGGCCTGGTTTTGTAACGAATGTGAAATTTTTGTTACTGAACTAAAAGTAACTTCAGACTGAGTGTGCCCTTAATGTAGTTAAGCCTCTTGAACACACTTTTTAGAAGTGTAAAACCAAAGCCTTCAGGCTTGAATCTGTCTGTAGCATTACCATGTGGAGGTAATAGTTTTGCATAATGTTGTGCTTATGTAATAGCAGTTACACTCAATAAATATTTTGCAGCAAAAGTCTGACTAGCTTTTCTGTCCTAGATTTAAAAAATCAAATCCAAATGTGGAAGTCATAATTTATAATAAGCTTCAGAGGGGAGGAGGATGAAATA